CATAGTGAGAATAGAATACAAGATGATGTACCAATTGATGAAAAACCTCCATTTACTTATCGTCAAGATGATCATCATCCAAGACATCCAACTGATATTAAATCCGAATCACCTATTGTTCAGAGACCACCACCACTTTCGGAATCTCCTGTTAGAGAAACTTACAACAATGAACAACAACAACATAGTCCGATTTCAAATGTTTCTAATAATGATATTCCTCGAAAATCTTCAGCTGATCAACGACCCGAAACACCACGTGAAATTTCAAAAATGTCAATTCCGTATCAATCAGAACCGGATCCACATTCTCCTCCTGGAGAACAAAGTCCACGTGTTAATGAACAGAACAATTCTACATCTTCAACCAGTCCTCCTGATAATGATAAATCAATATTAGCACCTATTCGTACTAATTCTTCTGCTAATGACCGATCATCTGGATCTGCAACTGCTCGTACGGTGGATGAAGATTATGATGGAACTGCTACTACAGCAGAAACTTTAGTAAGCTTGAGTGATCCTGGTGTTTCATCTTCATCTGCTGCACAAAAACGTTCATATTCACCAGTAAAAGGAGATGATGCTGATGATCGCCGTGATGAAGGCAATGCTAAACGAATGAAACCATCGCCAACGACTCCAGCAGATGAAGTTTCGTCTCCAATATCGTCCCATTCAGAACGTGAAAGAGAACGAGATAGACGAAAGTCTGAACAAAGTGCTAATGGAAGTAATTCTCCGGTTGCTGGTGGTGCTACACCTTAAGGCGTAATTATGTATATAAGTTGTTTTTCACTTTTTACTAGGGCTATTTTTTTTCATGCATCAATTATTATGCTTAAAACAATTTATATGTTTCATGCACCGATTATTATGCTTAAAACAATTTATATGCTCGAAAATTCGATGGGTTTTTTTCTTTGGTATTTTTTTTTTTTTTTGTTTGGTTTTTCTTTTGGATTATTGGCTTTTTTACTTTGATTGGTTTCAATAAAGGATTTGTTTTATTTTATTACAATTAAATAATTAAAGTTACAAGCAATATATATGTAAAATAAAAGCAGACTTTAGTATAACTAGTTAAGTATTGTTCTGATTGGATGTGGTAAATCACATGTGTCTCTGATGATTCCGATTCGATCGAGGTGTTTAATCATTTCTTTTAATTGATCTAATTGATCCAATTGATCCAATTGATCCTTATAACAATTTTGATAAATTTCATTCTTGCGAAATGCGAATTTTAAATGTCATCCAATCAGAGCAACTTGGATGCTTCGCATCCAATAATGATAGTTTATCAAATTCAGGTTTTTAAATGATACATTTTGAGACCATTAATAGTTATATACAGTAATAAAGTCAAAATTTTACTATGTAAATCGGTATTTATGCATTAAGTCGTTCAGAAGATTAAAATACGTCTGAGTTTTACTTATATCGGACAACTTAATAAATAAATATGAAATTTTTTATATACTTGAAGATATCTTTTTTGTATCAATACTAATCAAAAAAATTAGCTTATTTAATATCTGATATATAGTAAAAAATTTATTCATGATCAATATATGTTCCACTTTGAACATTCTTTGTTATTATATAAAAATACTACATACAAAGTAATATCTTTTAAAAAATTCTAATTGTTTTAGTAAATTTTTTAGCTACAAATTAGCGACTTTTTTTTTTTAATAACATTTCAAAAAAGTTATTAGCCTTTAAAAATCGGTGTAACCATTAAGTGTCGCGGACTGTTACACTTAATTTTTTTCTAGTCAATTCTATATCATTGTCCTTACCTACCACATGGTTAATTTGGAAAAGGAGCCACCTAATCATGTGATAATTGGAATACAGATTTACTATTTACTGTTACTTTGCATCAAAGATTTGCGTACGTATGTACGTACAGACACGTTACACAAAATTAGGCCGATCAGATATCACTGTGATATTTCAAATTTACTTTATTATTTTATGAAT